AATATAATGAAAGTATAGTTATAATTTATTAAAGTTTAGGGGTGTCTGGCAGGGGGTAGCCTCCCTAAACTTTAATAGCAACTGTCATAAGTGTCCAGCAATGGATGACGAGATTTTTAAAGTTATCCCGAAGGAAATATTAAAAAATTGAGCTTTATACTTTAACAAATTTCAAGTACTATTTTATACACCTTTACTACCTGTTACCTGCCCAGGTAACCACAACCCAAACTCTATAGTCGCTGGTGGATCTTACCTGTATAGGAGACATGTACAGAGAAACTTTCAACTTTTATAAAATAACGAAGGTCTGGCTGTCGTGGGCTCTTGGGCCAATACCTAATAGGCATTATAACTAAAATATAGACAATATCGATGTCACCACAGTACGAGTAACAATAGTGATTGAACTACAAATATTTTCAAACTCATAACACAGAACCACTGTTTTGCACAACACAACAGGATACAAATTTAATTTTCACCTGGTAAATATACTAAATAGCAAATACAATAAGTATGTAATATAGATAAATATTATCAAGGATAAAGACAATTCTAGTTAGAAACCCTTCAATAAGTACATGAAACTCGGACAGAAAATTCTTTTCTTATTAGATTCAACCAGATTTAATACAACACCAGCCAACAATGCCAAATTTATTTTTCAATGCCAATCTATCACAACAACCATAGATGAATACAATAATAAATATAATACAAAGCCTTCAACTTGATATAGGACGACCAGATAACTATTTAGAAGTTCGGTAATTATATTTACTGTTGCCAATAACAATAATATACTATCGTTTGGATAGGACCATTAGACTTTTGAAAAACCAAACCAGACAAAACAATTTCGCATAGAATACGAAATAAACAACGCTATTTAAATCTAGAAATACAATAAACACCTCTGACAATACCTTAAAAAGTCCTATACTTTATCTAAACTTACCTCTATTGCGACTATTCCATCTTTCTTCGTCAGACATTTTGTAGGTTAATACACTATTAGTCGTGCAACATTAACCAATTTAATTAACCAATTGAAAAAAATCAATAATTAAAAAACGAATCAACGTCGTTCGAATTTCTGTCTTAAATTTAAATAAAACATGAAACACAAAGCGAAAAAAAAGATAACATTTCGAGTCTTTCAAAAGAGTTCCCTTTGTCACTTGCCAGTACCACTGTCAAAAATGTCACTTTACAACTTGAACTGGTTTACAATTTATTCCATAGAGTTGCATTCAATATTTTTATAACTTATGGATGAGAAATAATTGTCTATGGGTAATTGAACACACAGTTTACAATTAAATGAAAATCAATGAGGGCGCGACAGGCAGTTCACATAGTAACACCTACAGCGTATAGTTTATCAATTTCAGAATGGTCACGAATATTTCAGGAACTAACAACATTAAAACTATAAAAGTAAAAAAAGTAACACTCAATGAAAGTAGGTTAAATGTCATTAGGTTTGATCGAGTTAGAATAGTTATACATAAAATTAAATTATTAAAAAAATTACAAAGTTCATGGGGATACTGATCGACAATGTTCAAATAACGTTTCTGCGGAGGGTAACGTGATGCTAGTACAATCTTGGCTTTCTGGCAAGGGCATACGGTCAGCCAAGAAGTGCGCTGGTGATGGTATGAACCTGGATCTCCAGGTTCACTCCAGGGACACTATCATCTGATAGTGTCGATGTAGTAGTGTGCGTACTCCTAGAATATGAGGTCAGCGTCAATCCACAGGCGTTAAGCCCGGACTTTGGACTTTGGAATCACTGTCTCCGTACTAAACAGTTCCTTTCTAGTGACCCTAATCACTGCGCAAGCAGGAAGCGGAAATATCAGCGCTTAAGGTGAATGTGTAGGACGTGTAGCGGGTTCGATTCCCGCACGGAGCAATTCTTTGTGTGATGCACAAATTCTTGTTTCGGGTCTGGGTGTCATGTGTATGTAATATTATATGTTTCTAAACGCACCAAAATTAATGAAATGTTATAAAAATTATTCAATTATTATCCTTAACTCATTGCATTACACTCGAATTCAATCATATATCGTTTATTCACCATCGATGCATTAATAAACTCGCATTTCCTAATTCATTTAAAATATGTTAATCTGATGCTCGACTACCTTATGATGCACTTATTTTAGTTGTTAGGCTAGAAGGAGTTATTACACTGCCTCGTTGACCGAGTGGTGAAGTGGTCGCAAATACGACTGCCGGGCAAGGGGTTCGAATCCCGGGTCGGGCAAAGTATTACTGGGTTTTTAAAAAAAATCGCAGCAGTAGCACGGAGTTTGGACTTGTGCCCGGTATATGGTAATAGGCTCACCCACTATTACATGGGACTCATAACGTAAATAGTGAAAAGTGGGTATGTGGACTTGGCATAATGTGCACCTCTGCCTACCCCTTCCGGGATAAAAGGCGTAATGTTATGTTATGTTATGAGTTATTCCAATATTAAACTTCGCTGTATTGTATGAGAGTACGTCAATATTCCACATCGTAAACATTTACATTTTTCAATTACAGTCTCAGCACAGTCTAATATTATTCTTGTAAGTATTTTATATTTTTGGAATAATTTAGGTAAGTTATTACGGACCATATCGGTATTAGGCCAAAGAATAACAACTTTGAGTACACGACTCAACATGGGGCACATATTTTTAAAATAATTTGAACATGTCTGCCTATTTCTACCAATCAAAACACCAATGGGCTCTAAATGACATATTTTGTTTAATCAACAGTAAACCGACGTGATGCAACGCTTGCGTTGTGTTTCGTCGTATAAGTGAGGTTACCGGAGGACCAATTACCCGCCCCTCCCCCAATCTCCCCAACGATCCTCAAACTCCTAATCCCCATAAGGCCGGTAACGCACTTAACGTGACGCCGATTGCTTACCGTCTGCTCGTTTACTGGCTTATGCCATAAAAAAAATACCATTATCAAAATAACTCTGTCTTTCACAGATAACATTTTCTTGTTTGTTAGATCATTTATGACCAATTCAACCACATACGTCACCAATGTTTCTAAAAGTTGACATAACATAACATCACGCCTTTTATCCCCGAAGGGGTAGGCAGAGGTGCACACAGAAGTAACACCCACTTTTCACTATTTATGTTATGAGTCCCATGTAATAGGGGGTGAGCCTATTGCCATATACCGGGCACATTTCCAGGCTCCGTGCTACTACTGAGATTTTTTTTTAAAACCCAGTAATACTTTGCCCGACCCGGGAATCGAACCCGATACCCCTTGCCCTTCAGTCGCACTCGCGACCAGTTGGCCAACGAGGCCGTCTAAAAGTTTAATTGAATGAATTCCCCTAAAAGTAAATAAATACATATCAATGTATGATGATCTATCAATGATCCTATAAGTTTATAGCTTTACAGCTGATATTTCCTTTTTTCATACGGGAACATAACTTATTTGATTCATAATTTTGTGTTTTAATTTGTCTGGAAATAAATGAAAACTTACTCCGAAAGTATTACATTGAAGAACGCAACAATACTTTGTACTTCTGCTTTTATTAAAACCAGGTTTCTAAGTAATCGTGATCCATTTGATTATGTTTAAACTTAATAACCTCTACTCAAAGTGTCGTTCTTAGACAACTTCTAAATTTCGCCACTAGAGGCGCGCGGACAATATTTGCATCGCCAATAGCTAAAATTTGTGAAGACAAAAACACTCATGCGCTTATACCTTAAACAGGGCCGGACTCAAGGACAAAGTTGGCATTAGAAATAAGGACATTATTATCATATCTATACATAGAGATAAGCGTGTTTTTGGGATAATCATGATCATCAACAGCCGAAAGATGTCCACTGCTGGACAAAGGCCTCCCCCTACGTATTAAAATTATTCAATACGTAGCTATGCATGTATTAAATAATGTAGAAGATATATAGTGTTAGACGACGAAAATCAACTAAATTAACGTCACTACTTTAATCTATGTTATCGACAGCACTAGCTGTCATATTGACGATGTCATCTGTCAAATGGGACAGATTAGAAAAGTTTCCCGCGCAAAGTGGAGTGACGCGCGATTCTGGTGGGAAGTTTGAAGAGCATTGTGCTGTGTTCTTAAAATAATCCGTTTATAATAAACTTTTCAGTATTTAAGTATTGAGTTTTACTTAAAAATGAATATGTAAAGATTGCTTTTAAATACAATAGTTGAGGGGAGAATAATAATTTTAATTAAGGCACTTAGTTGTCGGTTGATTTTACAAGTACTTGATTGTCATGAATGGAAAATTAAGTTGATTTTATGTTTATTATTTTTATACATTGTATTCTAAGTAAATTTACGGGCAAATGGCGTGATAGTTAACATTATCAAAATTATTTAAAAAAAAAATACATTTTGTTTTTAGTCTACAACAACATAAAAAATCCACAGATGAAAGGTTATTCTATAAAAAAAATATATATATTTATATATATATTATAGGTATTTTCTTATAGCAATTGTTGTCACATCGGCACGCATTACATTTGACCGTTTTATTTTATATTATTTAAACGTTTAATGGTATAAACAATTAATATTTCTTTTATAATGAGATTGACGCAGTCGTAGGTAAAAACATATCAATATGGCGGCACGGAAAAACTGACTACATGTCAATATTTGGCTATGTGTGGAGCAGTGTGGCTACAGGTAACATAACGAGACGCAATTATTAGCTTGATACTTAACAGAACAAGGACGAAAAATAATGGATATCATATACGTATGACTAGGAGTTAATATTCGGTCTGTTTATCTGTTGTAAGTCTGTGGTAGGTGTTGTTTGTTGTGGTGTTGTGTGTAATGTTCTTTTCGAAGGTATTTCCAATCCATTGTATATTAACATCATTGGTTGCGTGCTTTCGGAATCTGTTACCATTTGTATTCTGTGGCGTGTGACGTTATTGCTGGAAAGTCTGTGAACCTATGCTCCGTCCGCCGTCAGTCCATCCAGTCTCAGTCTGGCATAGTGCTTTATTCAATGACGTGACTGACGTACATTTTTGTAATATAAAATAAACGTCCATTTTATTAAATTGTGAGAAAATGGATCGCTTGCGAGTGCGTGTGAACTTTAAATATATAACTAGTGTGTTCTTTTTGGTGTTTGCTGTTAGCCAGTCTACCATAGGTATGTCGCAACTTTACTGCCCACGTAATGAAAACAATGCATCTTATTATTTTAAATTCAGACTTTTGGTGCACTTCCATCTAAAACTTTTCTTGTACTTATCTGATCAACGTTACTAATCCCGTTCAAAAATTGCGCCTTCTTTTATCTCGAAACATATATTGCGGTTAAGTTATGGTAGATAGTAGGCCACGACATTATTTTGTATTTTGTCTTCGACTAAGAAAGAAAGAGGCATAGAAAACCTTGAAAACCTCTAGGCTTTTTATTATCAAGTTTGGTGTCTACGTCATCTGTCGTGATTTTTATTTTGCGCTACTTTATTCATATCAGATTTTGAACGTAAAGTTTTTGTTCAACAACTTGTTGCTTTCGTAACTTAAATGTAAACTAGTCGGAGGTAGTCTGGTCGGTGGTCCAGATATGGAACTATGAATACCATCTTGTTTTCTGTATATCTGAATTAGGTTTTTTAGATAAACAATTGTGTCATCCATTGGTGTAAAAGTTTATTCCAAAAAATATTCTAGTATTTACGTTCTTTCACGCCTTTAGTTTATTGGTCTTATTTTATTGGTACAAGTCCAGAGTGTTGCAAATAGTTCTTGAAGTGGCTTCCTTGAAAAATTATGTCATAAAAAATAATATTTGAAACAGATATCTGAAATTTATTTTAATCTGTTCTAATTTTAAAAGATACATCTTCTAAACCTGAACAGTAACTGTATGAAGTAGATTCAGTATGAGAATTAACATTAAAGCAAAAAAAAAATGTGATGAAGTACTAAAATTGATTTTCTTATTCTTTTGAATATGAATCTTATTAAATAATTCAAGCAGATGGTTATGGTCTCATGTAGAAAAGTTGAAGTTGGTTATAAAGGAGTATGTATACTTATTGCACAGCATAGTCTGGATCTACCCTTCAATAGCAATAATAAAATGGAAATGTCTTTTTAAATGAAACATCAGCTACTTTTGTACCTATAGTCAAGGTTTTGTACTTTCAGTAATTGTGTTGTGATCATATTTTATAAGATTTTATGTTATTTATAAGATAAAAATAGTAATGGTAGTAGAGAAGCTTGTTGGTAAATAATGCCAGCTGCTTGAGGTCCATCTCCGGGCTTATACTAGCGTGGCAAGTTTTGTCAATGGAAGGGTGACCCATCTTTCACACTTACTTATGTATATGTTGTATTTCTTAGTCAAGTCAATGTAAATTGTTCTTGAGAAATAGTTGTCTTACATCGCAAACTGCAGTTATATAGTTGGTTATTGAAAGTAATGATTAGAAAAGATTGGGTTTATTAAAAACTGCATTAGTATAATTTTACTCACATTAAAAAAAACAAGGTATAACTATTGGTTATAATTTACCAGTTTTACCACTAGTTTTATCGTAATATTAAAAGCAAGTTTATCATTCAGGGTTGGAAAAATTTGGTACTTTTTGATTAACTACAGGAAGTACCATTCCAAACATAAGAAGCTTCTACCCTCTACAGAACTTAAAAAAAAAAAGATTTTATTTTGTCTAGAATATGACTGTATCATATTGAATATTGTAAATTATTTACTCATGTGAGAAGTTAAGCTTGTTTATGGTTTAGTTACCAAATGGAACAATTCATAAAAAATATGTTCTGTGTTCTGGTATGTAGTGGCTACCAGACATTGTGAAACAGGTGCTAAAAATTCTCTGTTTTGCCAGCAACTTCGTTGGCTTGGATTTACTGCCTAGTTTTTTCAATGTTGTATAGTTAGCTTATGTTGTTTAGTCAAGATTCAGCTTTCTAATGTTGAAAGAATTATGGTGGCACTGGAACTATGGTTTAAAATCCTAGCGCTCATATTTTCTTTGCCACTGATATTATTTGGATGAAATTCAAATAATATCACAAAATTTGTTTAACACAAGAACTTTGGAAACGGAAAGTCGTATGGATTTATATCGTGGTGCCCTGTGTCTTTTAAACTACTGAAATAAATTAATAAAAAAGATAAGAAGAAGTTACTTGATATCGGTGGCTCATTTGCCAGTCTGTTACGATATCACAATAATGTAAATCAAAGTGTTAAAACAATACTGATATCATCTAATACAGCCATAGAATAGACCTCATTGAAGAGGCCATATAGTTACCTATTCTTTTATTTAATTAGAATGGCGTTTGGCCACGATCTCGCCTGGTAGTAAGCGATATTTCAACACGCCTACATATGAAAGAGCAACCTCATGCAAGGGTTTCTTACTCTAGTATAGGTTCACACTCGATTACAACAAGCAACGGCATCTGTTCTAACTGTCTAACTATGTGTTTCTTAATTAATGATGGACTTACCGACTAGATGAAACGAACATAACTTGGCAGACCAGACGACGTTCATTAAGTTGTAAGTACCCCTGAGGTACCCCAATTTTAAGGCGTAACAATTTGATACTAAAACCCATCTTATGAAGTTACACACATGGAAATAAAACGCTACTCAGTCACAAATATCTGTAATCGGTTTCAGATTGATCGTAGTAACTAATTAGGGCTGATTTTCCTAACGCCAGAAAAATTTTATCTGAGGAAGAACTTTGAATATTTGACAATTCTTTCTTACTATAAACTGTCGAATGTCAATTTTATTCTACAGTTAGAATTAATAGATGATTGATAAATCGGCACTAGTCCTCTTTTTACAACTGAGCAGTCTAAGTCTAAAGTCTTGGTCATCTCTATAATTATTTATTATTTATCAGTCAGTATTATTAACCAGACCACCAGTCATGTCTATTACTTATAGATATACCTGGGCCACACTAGACAAATATTTATTATATTTTCATAATTATTGATTCTCATTCATTGTATATCCAACGAAAAATATTTTATTCTGCGATAGAAGGTTGCCTCTGCTATGTAGCACAAGAGCTGCTTTAATGACTTCTGTACAAACAGTATAACCTAAACGTATTATTAACCTTGGTGTTATTTGGTTACAGTCACGCTATTGACTACCTCTTGTAAATATTCCGGTTATTAAAAAGAGAGAAATACAAATTATTAACAGATGTATCATCAGGAAAGAGGAACAACAAACAATTTAATTTGTGTCACAGACCACTCTACCCACACACATAACGTTTAGATCACAACTATACCTCCCTCTACAATATACAATATCGGTACAAAGACGTCTCCTTTTATGAAACTTCGTCACAATTTAATTTTCAGTTATCGATATTATACCAACCATATTGTTTTTATGGTACTTTTTCTACAGGTCCGAGGTCAACGAACGCAGATCAGGACTTCTTGTCTCTTTTAGCTCAACAAGTTGCGATGACGTAGTAACGAGCTCGTAAACTCAAGGTTGCATTTCATCCTCATGTTTTGATATTGTGCTCGAATATATTTTGAACTTGCTTGCTTAGACTAGTTTATGCAATGGATTTTTAAACTTATGTCGTTGGACAATCGTAAAGTTGTCGATGTACTGTTGGTTATTGATTTATTCAAAGAGGTTGCAATGGTTAATGATAAACATTTTCTAAATTAACTAATCATTTAAGTAATAAATTAAGGATTTGGATGTTCAAATAATTCGAGTAAAAACACGTAAAAAGACATAAGACATCATAAAAAAATTAAAGGGTAGGTAAAGTACCTAAGTACCTAAAATAAAGGTACCGTGGTCCAAGCAATGTCTCATCAAATCTTGAAAAAAAAAACCTGAACACGTTTAATCTTACAAGTTTATGTATCGTCTACTTTATTCTCTGAAAATAATTTGATACACCATACCATACAATGTTCATTGTTGTTGTATACGAGTGACGAAATTTCATAAGATGTGGGTGCTGCTGCATACGCTAATACGAAGAACAAGCATTACATTCTTTACTTAGAACAGTCAGATCAATTACGTCATTATTATCGAGAAATCTTGAAAATGTCAACATCAGTACTCTCGTGCTTTTTCTGATATTCAGTTGGATCATAAAAAAGTCTTATCTCTTAATATTTCCACCCCATTTAGATTATTAATTAATCAGATTTTTGCCGTAGGAATTAAACATATTTGTAGTATAACGTGGATGTATTGAAAATCCGCATGTGTACATTTCATGTAATCGCTAAGTTCAGTATAATTACTCTTGTTTATATACCTTATAACGATATTTTTAGATAAAAGTATAATAAAATATTGTATTGTAGTTGAATGAGCAAATCACTAAAAACCAGATTTAAAGGGTCACGGTATTGTAAAGAAATTCAACTTTCAATCTAGTGGTCGCCCATTTGTTATTCGATTATTAGGCATTCGAGTACACCCTGAGTAGCCAGTGAAGAATATTTATACGCTTTCGCATTTATTTCAATATCTTAGGACCAAAACATATAACGGCGTTGCGGCGCCGCGCCGCTAGAATCGACAGTAGCGTCACTGCCGATTTACATTTAAGCGGCGCGGCGTCACAACGCAGCGCTTGTTCCAGCATAGCAGAGTAATGTCTTCTAAATAACGAATAAGCAATAAGTTTTTCACGATGGTCCATGGCAGAGACACGTCTATCCACAACAAAAAATCACGACGAACTGGTTACCCAACCAGACGACAATAAAACGCTATTTTTCACGACGCCGCAACGCAAACTGCCGATTTTAGCGTTGCGGCGACGCAACGCGGTTATGTGTATCGGCCCTTGGGGTTCATACGCACTATGCGGGTAGCCGCATTGCGGCTAGCCGTCCTGCGGCCCGAGTGATGGCCAGCCGGACGGTTGATATACGCACTGTGCGGTTCAGTCTGCGGCTGCCCGCCATTCAGTGAGTGTGTGCACGCGGTACGTCTGGTAAAATGGAATTCGATGCTTGCTCTCTCGTGTTTGCAAATATGGATGCACCGAATACTTCTTTCTTTGTGTTTTTATTCTTTATGTATCGTGTGTATGTAGTAAATAGCTGAAACTTCTTCCACGTTCATCTTTGAAATGGATCAACATG